GAGAGAGAGAGAGAAAGAGAGAGACATAGACAGAGACAAAGACAGAGAGACTGAGAGACAGAAAGACAGAGACAGAGTGAGAGAGAGAGAAAGAGGATTACTACAGGAGCTGTGCCCTGCATATGTTCTTTGTATTATTGTACAGCGTATTGAGCACTTCTTTTGTGGAAATGCGCTATATAAATGCAATTTATTATTATTATTATTATTATTATTATTATTAAATGGCAGATATTGAATCAAGAACTTTGAAACAATGTACCTGAACAGTAACTGTCAAGAACCTAAAATCACTCACATGGTCTTTTCCTGTTCCCAGAACTCTGTGCTGTCAGAGATCCAGGGATTGGAAGTGTCTGGACTTGTTATGAAGGCATCAAATTCTGCATATTGCTGGTAATAAGCTATATAACTGCAAAGGAAAAGTGACAGGCATAACATTATCTTTATTGTAGGTAAAAGGCTATATAACGAGAACATTGAACAAGCAGTCCAAGAAAGAGAAAATAGACGTAAAAATCTTGAAAACAACCCAACAATAGGAAACAGAATGAACTAAAAAGAAGCCTCAGCTAAGGCCAAACAGACAACACTCTTGGCCAAAAGATGTAAATGGAGCCCCACAGTCGCAGATCTCGACCTACATAGAAACGGAGCCAAATCATGGTCCTTCCTCTCCAACTTGTGTGGAGAAAAGCGCCGAAACAACCCTAAACCCATGGACACAGAGGAAGGCACCATCGCAGAAGACCAAAAGAAGGCAGAAACCTTCAACAAGTTCTTTGCCTCAATAAACAAAGCCACACCTCACTCTGACCAACATAAAGACTGTCTGAAAAAACTGAAAGAGAAAGAGCATGCGCCAAGTGTAAATATCTCTCTCTTTGAAGATGACTTCATACTCACTGAGCTCAACAGGGCAATGAAGAAACTGAAGCCTCGCAAATCCTCTGGACCAGATAAGACCCACAATGAAATTCTTGTCAACCTCAATTGACTCCTACCCAAGTAGTTCCATCCATATTTACACTGATGGGTCAGCCTTCAAGGGAACAATTAATGCAGGCTTTGGAGTAAGAACAGAACATCCTGACAAGACATGTGAAGAACTATTTGATGCTTGTGGTACTTCTTGTACAAATCATGAGGCTGACGCCATTGCCATTGAAGCAGAAATCCTCCACCTGACCAACATTTTCACTATAATATATCCAGACAAAATTAAGAACACTGTTATCTTCGCAGATGCAAAATCAGTACTCCAAGCTTTGGAAAACATGAATTTAAAAAGCCCAGCCTGCCTATCTGTGGCTCAAACAATTAACAATTTCATGCAGACCTACGCCATCAACATGACTTGTCAGTGGATACCTGGCCACAGCAACATCCCAGAAAACGAGAGAGGAGACACCCTTGCCAAGAAGGGAGCATCACAAACACAACCTCAAACCCCAGTATCACAACAGACAGCCAAGAACATCATCAAATGCAACACCAGGGAACAGTGGCTGAATGGATGGGCTATGGACAAAACTGGAAGAGCTGTATTTGCACACATGACTGCTCCCAACTCAAAAGATGCACCAAACTCCCTGAGTAGAAGAGAACAAGTCACTATCATTCACCTGCGAACACAACACATCCCATTGAATTCCTACCTAAATAGGATCCGCAAGGATACCCCACCTGACTGCCCATTGTGTGACTGCCAGGATGAAACAGTATCACACCATCTCTTTTCCTGCCACGCACTTAGCGACCTGCGTAGCACCTACCTATCTGCCTCCCTAGTGACAAAACACAGCTGAAAAAAACCTGTAAATTCTATGCCATATCAACAGGCTGAAGGGCTAGAACCCAGATGATCGCTGGATCGGAAAAGTAAAGTAAAGTAAAAGTAGAAGGCTATATAATGACAAATTCATCAACTCATCAATAAAGAATATCAGTCACAGTCAGAGCTGTGTTTTTAAAACTTGGTATATCAAATGAAAATCTCATGTTAATTCTAACAGGTACTCCTGCGAATTCTGAGGGAAAAGTGACATATCCAACATCCACACTACAGTTGTCTCTCGATCAAATTGACATATTATAATAATCACAGGCGGAGGGTAAAATTGGACAAAACAAGAAAAATACTGTCATCCTAACCCAATAATAGAGAAGCAGATGCTGCATTAAAAGTGTTTAAATAAGAACAACTGCTGAAAGCTCAATTTTTCATCAGCGTATCATATCTCCATAATATAAACACTAGACCTAAAAGTATTCTTTATCTGCTCTGTAGATTTGGTGTGCCCATAAAGATAAGAAATCCTAGTTTTAAATACCAGTTCATGCTCATGGCATTTTAGCTCAGTAAATGTAAGTATTCTTTGATTTCTAAACAAAACCCTGAAATTACAAACAAGCTCTTTTACTTCCTCCTTCTCTTTCGGACCCTGTAGAATGTCAAGTGGTTGTCTTCATTTACTGACAAAGATGTTTGGTAAATCTTGCTGATACATTTATAAACATCCAAACCATTTTTTACATTTCTGTCCCTTATACTTACCATTCTACAACTTTAGAAATTTTTACCCGTCTTTTTTCTAATTTCCTCCGCAAGACATTGATCTGAGGAAAAAAATATGGATAAGATAAAATGGGAAAGTACAATTATCACAGGAGTGAAAAATGAAACATGGGTAGAGAACAGTTCACAAACACAATTTCCTGACTTTCGATTTTCGTTTGGCAAAGTAAATGGGCTCCAATTTTGCTTCACGTCAACCCAACAGTTTGAAAAGTTTATAATAAAAAGTTGTGAATCTTATGAAAAAAACAATTTTGACAGAAAACCCAATCTTTCCCTTTGACTCTACAGTGTTGTTAACATAGCCTCTGGTGTCATGGGGAATTATACAAGTTCCACCACATCATGTTGGAAAATACTTGAGAGCAGGCAAGCAAGTAAAGGCCATAAAACCTTTACATTTTTAGAAAGTAGAACTCACTTGTGAAGGAGTTGAAATGTTTGGAGGATTAACGAACTAAAATAGCAATGCAAATTACGGATGATTAAATTGGCTACAATACCACGGAATGAAAAGGACAATGTAATACTAGGAGGGTTAAAGCATTATTATTTTTTAAAGTAACCAAACATTTACAATGAATACAACCCCCCCCCCTCCCTAGTTATGATCAGTTAAACAGAAATTTTATCCTCTAAATCAAACAGATTTCTCTCTTTTCAAACATTTTGAGGTACAAAAAGTGGGATGATTATAAAACTCCGTTATTCAAGAGGTTATCTCTAAATTAGCCCAAAAAAAACCCCTAATTGTTTGCATTTCCTTTTTTTTCTGTTGGTACAGGACTGACATTTATACTTATTCATATTTGCACATTTCATAAGTCAAATGTTGACAGGCAAATTCTCTCCAAATAGAATATTGAGCATTAAATAAATGTTTGAGCAAAATTAGAAAATCCTGTGAGAGTAGCAAGAGTCAAGTTTTCTCTCCACATAAGCAAATATACTCTTTACTCCTGCACACCACTCTGTACAACCATTATGATCATTAATGGGAAGTTATGTAAATGCTAGCTGCCAGCGTGATTAACCCTCTCACTTCTGTTAAGTTTTGAAATTTTGACAAGAACTAAACTGTCAGTCAGGGGAGGAAAAAAACCGTTATGCTCAGGCAACATTAGAGGGCAAAATTATTTAATGAAACCTGTAGGTTGCTCAGATCTTCACATGAGTAACAAAGGATCAATGCACAAAATTGGTATGTGAATTTTCTATAACAGTTTTCTAGACTTATTTTGGTGATATGTTCAAATACACTGAGGTCTGCCGGTCTGCCAACTGCAAACTGCTGAATAAGTATTTGCTTCCAAAACATCAAAACCCTCTGCAAACCTAAAAGCACTAGGGGTTAAGAACAACTCAAACAAATGCAAAAATGCTCTAAACTGCACACAAGCAGAGCTCAATAAATTGATCTTAGTGAGGGATAATGGGATGGCAAGTAACTGCTTGATAACATTACGTTTAACCCTTTCCTGTCTAACCTGCTTTTTCCTTATCAACGGGGGGAAAAAAAACAACCGTATGAAAATATCCTTGTTCAAATAAGAAAATGTCAAATGAAAGGGATACTAGCCTTGGCAAATAGTGAACCTATTCAAGAAAAAATACTGTAAAACTTGACTGTAATGTATAACCAGAGAAAGAACTATTGAGGTTTTACCAGCCTTAACAGAGTGAAAAGTCAGAGCTTCACACAATTTATTGCAGAGTAGCAAAAGCTATTCATAATGAAGATGCTGGCACCAAGATGTTAAAACAGAAGCTCGGAACAGACCCTTACATATTTTGTAAGTGCAAGTTTTCAAAAAGTCAAATCGTAGCTAGTTATATTTTCAGAGACATGGACAAACTGAATATTATACTTTACTCTTTGCGTAATAAAATCAGCCAAAACCTCTTATGGGATGAACTTTGGCGAGAAAAAAAGTTTAGGAGGCCAAATCTCTTGAGTTTCAAAATAAACTGATTTTTTTTTTTTGGCATTCATTTTCTGTGAAAGTGAGTCATTTTGATTAACATGTTTGATGATTCAGCCAAAAGTTAAAGTATTAATATCTTTTTTTTAAAGTACTAATATATTGAATAAGCTTTTACACTGATGTTTGATGTGAAAACGAGAAGAGCTAGACAAAGTTCTTGAATCGAGCTCATAAAATCCTAAAGTGTGGTATAATATCAATTTCCCATGAAAGATACAATTTTTAAAACATCAATGATTTAAATTATATTAAACCGATTTCATTTGATCATTGATCACTATGTTGCTTTTCTCCTTCAGTGAAGTAAACACCTTTTATGTGCTAAAAAGTGCCACAGCTCTATTAACTTACAGCAGGCGGATGTAAAATTAACACACCCATGTTGACAAATTTTTACCTTTAAAAAAATAATTCAAAACTGATATCCACTGTAATCTTTTAACTACACGTACTTTAAATCTAATTCTTGTATGAGCCCACCCCTAGACATATTTCTTGGCTGATGTATGCACATAATATCCTTACACAATAAAATAAAATACAAAGTTGAAGAAAATTGTTTTCAAGTACTTTACCACCTGCAAATGTGAATCATAATATGTGTCATGACATGGTGGAATCAGGCGCTCATCAATTTTTGGGCATGTGGAGTTAATGATATCATCTGAAAGCTTACTCATTTGCCTTGCTTTCAATTAAAAAATATCAATTTAGTTTGAATAGAAGTCGAGATATTTGCAATTGATGAAGGTGAGGTAGCCTGGTTTCAGTGGTCAATTAATCAGATAATGGGCGCCAAAGTTTGGGAACGTAAGTAGAGTCCTTGAAAACTGAAAGTTACATATTTTGTGTCTTAAAACAAGGTTTTTCCGTACAATTCACATGAAAATGTGTTTTCATATGAACATAAAATGTGTTTAGCCAAAAAACAAAATTTCGATAGCAATTGCCACAATGGTGGAAAAATGCCCTTTTCTTCAATTTCATTATTTTGATGAGTGCCTAATTTCACCTCCATGCCTCACATATTTCAATAAACTGAAGTCTTTTCATTAAGGCCCTATAGGAAATTTGGAATTCTAGAATTTGTGGAAGACTGGTTACCCCTTTATTTTTGTAAGGTGTCATCACTGTGCATATTTAGAAATAAGTTATTTATAAGAAATGCTTTGAAAACATTTAACTACCACAGGCTAATTTTACCCTGAACAAAACCAAATATCATTTTCTCACATTTATCATTCCAAAACCTGATAATATCGAGTCTTAACACTTAGCAGTCACACAGCAAGCGGTACAAAATACCCCATCTGGTCACCCAGCCAGGAGAGCGATGACAACCGACTTCTCAGGCCTGTTGCAGAAGTGACCCGAACGGATAATTATCATCGGTGCGTTATTGCACTAAGTGACCTCAAAGCGTTAACTTGAGAGGCATGAAAACATCAACTTGGTGTTTCACCCATTCTGTCTAACTTGTTCTTCCTCGTATTACCCCGTAAAACTTCAACAAATGAACAAAAATATATTTTTAGTAAAACCCTACAAACATGTTCAATGGACCAGAGAAGCTATCCGTGTTTAGCAGATTTCTTGTGGATGAAAGTTGCAATGCATATAATAAAATGCGGGAAAAGAAACCTGGTTAACGGAATTTTGTACTAAATGGCTTCGGGTTAAACAAAGTCTACTGTACATATGTAAATTGCATTTACAGAATGCAGAAATCATGGCATAAAGACAAATACATTCAGGGACTGCAGTAGAAGACTAAACTATTTCACAGTTCAATGTACAAAAGATCTGCCGTAAGCTGATAAAACGCCTTATCTTTTTTTAGTCACTTGAGACAAATACAAAGATATTTTTTCTAAAATCTAAGCGTAACCTTCCAAAATTTGACTTCTCATTTATAAAAAAAAAAAAACTAGACACAATTTCACTTTGATTTTTTCACACAAGTATGGTAATTGGTCAGGCTTTCAATTTAGCAAATAAAAAAAAATTGGCGCCAAAAATGAAAAAAGAAGGCGTTTTGTCAGCTTATGGCAGAGATGTGCTGAACATACTTCCGAGGTTTCACTCCTAACGGCGGCGCGACAAGTACAGAACATTTAATACTAAGAGGGTTAAAAGCTACAGTCTCTGAGATCTCACGGGGAATCATTTTACTCAGGACGAGCTATTGTTGACTCAGGTACAAGTATCAATATCAAAGAATCCATAGCAATTATGAGCTTACTTCATGTCGTATGGAGTCCCCAGCCGTGTGAAGGTCGGCCTCAGACACACTGGGGCTTATTCGCCCTCCCGGGACTGCATAATTGGGCTGCAGAGCAGAAAAGTGGGATAAATTGGGTAATCTTTATAATTATAGAATTATAAATCCTTTGTACACATGCTGCACATCGACCCGTGAAAGCAAATTTGTCAAGTGCCAAAAATGACAATGTTTAGGAAATAAACTAACACTATGGTTAAAACTAGATATTACACTGAATTTCATAAGTTTTAAATATAAATCTATTATTAAAAAAAAACAAAAACCAAGAAGATATTAACGAGAGTGATGATTGTATTACACAATGTAAAGAGTCAACATTTTCAGTTTTGAGTTTTTCCAAACAATTGTGATAGCACATTTTTGATTTCCATGGGCCTATATAAATATATACACACAAACACTGATACTCAAACAAACGCACAAACACACACGTACACACACACACGCAAATTAATACATACATATGAAAACTTAAAACATATAATTGCTCTTGTGATCCTTTCACTTCTCCCTAGCAATCATTAACACACACACACATCATGCGAACATGTGTATACACACACATACACATTTAATCATACACAAACACATGTCAGCATAAACACAAAATTTCATCAATCAAAGGGGGTTCTATGGGCTATCAGAAGGCTGGGCATTTTTAGAAAGTAAGAGTAAGGTCGACTATGACCAAGAGGGCCATCAATTGCTGAGGAGAAGTGGTCGCTTTTAAGCACAAGGAGGCTATCCCAAAAAATGATGTTTTGAGAAAATCGAAGGTAAAGTTTCTGCCCCTTGTTCAGTTTCTTTAAAAGACAAGGAGAGTTTTCTGTATGACCAAACAAATATACACACCAATGAAACCAAACTTCTCCTATAGGTAGGGCAAAGCCCACTTTTGGTGTAGTTCAAGATTTCTGGAAACCCCCGAAATCTGGGTTAGCCAGCTCGTCCTTAAAAGCGACCAAATGTGCGAGTCTTAGACAGATGGGTGTCTGGGAAAGTGTCATTATACTATCCTCATCATCCAGTGCCAGATCTGCGACAGACATCGGCGATCATGGTTTTCCATTCATTCCTTTGCTCGGATGCTCTCAAAAAAGCTACGCTTCCCTGATATTTCCCAGTTACCCATTCGTTTAGGTTCCCTAAGTATGTTGTTCTGGGCCTACCCCTGCCTCGCTTGCCCTCAATTTTACCAGAGAGAGCTAGATATTCAAGACCCTTACATCTATTCAGGTGTCCCAAAAACTGCATTTGTCGTTTCCTGATTCATTATAATATACCCCCCCCCCCCAAAAAAAAAAAACCAAAGGGGAAAAGTGAGAAGTGGTCAATTGTACAGGTGACTGTGTCTTGGACAGGGGGTTGTTATACATGTTTTTTTTTTTATAGTAGAGGGTTTTACGGCGCTACCAACTGCATAAGGTCATATGAGTGCCAAGGGTTGGGTGTCAACAGAGAAGTCTTTACAGGGAATCAGACTTACTCTGCTCACCTCTCTAGCTTCAACAGCACAAAGTCTGCATCAACTATCAAGGCACCCCGGAAATAGCAGGTCACAAGAGAGTGACAAACATACAAAAGAAGTAGAGGAAATGACAATAGTAAGGATTAGGAAAGAAAAAGCAGCAGTTCCCTGTTGTAGATCAGGCACAGTTATGAGCGTGACATGAATCAACCCATTTACAATTATACTATGCTTGAACGATAAATGCCCCCCTTTGGGAATGGCCTAAAGACACTGCAGTCAGTGGCACTGCCCCAGAGGGTAAGGGGGGTCGTCAGAGCAGGTATGGCTTTATTTCTACAGAGGAAACAACTAACTGGGCAGCAAAACCCAACTATCTCCATTCTTTTTAACATTGAAAATGTGACTTCTTCTTAAGCTCACTCTTTGTTATGAACTGTTTTCACTGTTATTAGAAATGAAGACAGGACAAGAAAGCACTGAGGTCGCGAAAAGTTCTCTCACAAACTTCAGCTGTATCAATGCTTCTAAGAAACTATTGCTATCTCCCAGATCAATCCATGTGTGCGTCTTATTTAAAATAATGACAAAAAACCCAAAAGCAAGCAAGGCAAGAGATCTAAAGGTGAGATTAAAAGAAAAAAGCCGTTCTGATTATTTTTATTTCCCCGAAAATAAACCTTATCTTACTGTTGAAGAAAAACAATAAATAAATACACAAAAAATTCAGATATACAAGCTTGTGCAAAACTCAGTTCCTGTAGATGTTTCTGCTGTGTAGGATATATAATGGGCACATGAAAATGGAAGCATAATTATTTTTGTCAAACATTAACAAACAGAACTTTAAAAAATGTGTTTAAGTGCACAATGTATGCTCATACTTCAAGGCTGCAAATATGTACCAAATTTCACTAACAAGACAGTAGTGAAGAAAGAGTAGATTATCTTTCACAATAATGATGTGGCATCAGAGTTTTTTAGTTTTATTTGAATATCTATCTCTCTTTTTATTTTACAAACTCACAACACTCTCTCACTTACACACATACAGAGAGAGAGAAAATGAGAGAGAGAGAGGGAGAGAGAGAGAGAGAGAGAGAGAGAGAGAGAGAGAGAGAGAGAGAGAGAGAGAGAGAGAGAGACACACACACACACAGAGAAAGAGAGAGAGACATAGACAGAGAGACAGACAGACAGACACTGACAGACAAATAGAAAGAAGAGAGAGAGAGAGAGAGAAGGAGAGGGGGAAGGAGAGGGAGAGAGAGTCTGAGAGAGAGAGAGAGAGAGAGAGAGAGAGAGAGAGAGAGAGAGAGAGGGAGAGAGAGAGATGCGTACAGCACAAACAGGCAAACAAACAAACACATAGATGGTACATAACTAGACAATAAAAGAGAGCTATAAAGAATGAGAGAAAGATACAAAATGATTGTCAGTTGCAGAAACACCAGGATAGTTTAGTTTTAGTAAGAGTTTTACGGCACTTGCAACACAATAAGGTCATATAAGTGCTGAAGATTTGAGGTGTTACAAGAGAGTAACAAACATAAAAAAGAAGGAGGGGAGATAGAGACGATTGATTTTTTTTATAGGAAAGAAGGAGCAAACCACACCAGAGCACCCACCAACCACCCACTCCGAAGATTTGAGGTGTTACAAGAGAGTAACAAACATAAAAAAGAAAGAGGGGGAGATTGAGACGATATATTTTTTATAAGAAAGAAGGAGCAAACCACACCAGAGCACCCGCCAACCACTCACGACAGGAAAGGAGAGCACTCAAAACTTTGTTCAGAAAAGACAAATGAAAAGAAAAAAAAAATTCGGACACCACTAAAGCACATACCCGACTCATCTTTGAGTGTCTGTTCATTCTGCAAGCTTTCTTAATATCAACTTCTGTAGTATTTACACAACCAGGCTGAAACAAATAAAACAGGTGCAATAAAGGCGGTGATCTAGACCAATGAGTAGCTTCTGTAAAAACAACCAACCTACAAAAAGAGAGGGAAAAACTTATATTCTTTTATTTTTTCGGCGGTGATCTAGAGAAATGAGTAACTTCTGTAAAAACAAAAATCCTACACAGAGAGAGGAGAGAAAAGCTGCTTACATTCTTTTCTTTTTTTCCTTTTCTTCATCTTTAAATCTTTTTCGGGTACCCACTAGGTAGTCAACAGAAGGTGGTGCTTCAACCACAGCATAAAGGACTGAACACATTTCATTTCTGGTACTATTACTCTTTTATTACATTTTTTTTAAAAACATGGATGCACCAGTACTGACTTTCAACAGCAAAATTGCCTTAAAAGTGTACAATATAATGAGGGATTTCTCAACTTTTCCTACTTATCCTTTATAATTTCAACCTGCATTTAGAACATGACGTAAGAGAACTTTTAGAAAATTCACGTTTTATTCTCAGGAAATATTGTTTATCTTGACAAATCATACACTGATAGAAAAAAAACAACAACACTAACATTTTTTAAACAATAACACTGCAATAATGCACACTTATATAGAAAATAAGCAGATGCACATAAAGCAGAAATCAGCGCCAAAAGAAAGTGTTGAAGAGTTTGTTGCACGATAAAAAGAAAAGTTCATTGTTATATTTTACATACAAAAGACTTACATTATACTTCATGCTATTGTTGACAAATACAAGGAAATCCACAATACAAACAAAATATGATCTATAAAATATATTGAATGATGTAATTTTGTTTTGACAGCATATATCTGATTCACTTGGCCACCTGTTACGCATGTCACTTGACCAGCCAGCCTCGAGAGCCTAAAACACCAAGCACTCAGGCTATAAAGGAAGAGGAAGGCCACGCAAAGGGTGGATTGAGGGAGTCAAGAAAACCCTAAGAAAACATAACATCACAATAGAAAGAGCTGCGGAGCTGGCCTACCATAGAAAACTGCATCACCCCTCCACGCTTAACGGCAACAGAGGATGAAAAAGTAAAAAAAAGTAAGTAAGTACCTGATTCACTTAGCCTCTTATGTTAGTGTGAGCGCACTGATAAAACACAAGAAAACTTACCACAGGCCGATGGACATCCCAAAATGCCCGCTCTTGACTGTCCAAGACTTTTCGCTCTAGCTTGTCCCTCTTTTTATCCACCCTGAAAACATTGAGGAACAAATGTATAATTGGGCGGAGGGATGGGTTTTAATTCAGGTAAGAAATGAAATGCTGCAGTCAGATTTTCCTCGGGTATGTGGACTGACACAATGATGAATCATCAAGGTTTTGGATAGGATTTTTCTGCACTTGGAAATATTAGCTCATATCAGCACTGTCAGATTATTTAACACTGTTCCATCAATTGTGTCTGAATAGGTCTTTCCCAATCTGTCAATTGGATTTTTTAAAGTGATAAGTTGTTTTGCCTTTTATATTGTGACGTCAGCACATGCGCCGATTAACGAATACACAAACTTTTAGTCGGTGCAACATTTATTTCGCCGATAGGTGGAAAAGTGTTAAGAGACAGACTTTCTAGACGCTAGACGATCTTATTTGTGACAATGGGGGCATCAAACAGGCACTATTAGGTTTAAAAAAATGATATCTGATTGTTCATTTTTGAGTATGCCTTAAAGTTAATTCTTTGAGTTCCCTAAGCCAACAGGATCTGAGCCCAAGAGATCCCTTGGGTAGATTGCTGTATTTACTTCACTGCACAATGAGACAAAGTGGCCCACGCTCAGTTTTAGTTTTAGTAAGTGTTTTACGGCACTTGCAACACAATAAAGTCATATAAGTGCCGAAGATTAGAGGTGTCACAAGAGAGTAACAAACACAAAAAAAGAAGGAGGGGAGATAAATACAATAGATGTTTGATAGGAAAGAAAAAGCAAACCACACCAGAGCACCCTCCAACCACCCACAGCCCATGCTCAGGCATGCTGTTGAGTTCACTATGGTCAAAAGCACCACCACTCACTCTGGAGCAACAGAGAGTCAAAGTACAGTCTATCTTTTCTCAATCTAGAAGAGAAACCCTCTTCACACGGGCAGTATTGCACACAGACGGATCTCAAAGGCCGCCACAAGTAACTTACGTCTGTAAGCAGTACTGCTCGCTTTCAGTTCTGTGGTCCTCAAGCCAGAAGTTTTCCATTTACCCCTGAGGAATACTTCCCCCAATGTCTTCTTTTTGTGACTTTGCATATAGGAGACAGTGGATCATCACCTATTCCCTTAAATGAAATCAGAGTGACACTTCTCCCTCCAAAACCTAACATTTTCTTGACAACATTCTATGGGACATTACAGCAAACTTGCACTTATCACTAAATGGCATTCGACAGAGGATGAGAGCAAGGCTATTGCTGGATCAATAACAACACGAACGACAGCAACAGCAACAGCAACAATGGCTCACATATGGGCTAGGAAGTTGGTGCCATTTTGTCCAAGTTAAAAGCATAAACTTTCTTGTCAAAAAGCTATTATTCATCAAAATTTAATCTAGAATTGGTACCTTTTAATTTAATGAGGGAAACTGCGACAACCACCCACTCTATATAAAATTTACCTCAACAAAGTTCAATAAGAAATGCCTTTATGAAAGGACTTTAACCTGTAACAAGTGACATCATACTGTAGGGAACACCCTTGATGGATGAGCCGCCATAATAATATGACAATAATTCAATTCATACAAAGAGCTGTTAACTCCACATCAAATGTTTAGAGGCTGACTTTGGTTTCTTATCAGGTTTCTCTTGTATGGAACGAACTCCCACATAACATAAGATCTGCCCCAACAATTTATATTTTAAAAAATCAACTGAAGCATTTTTTAAATTCACAAACGCATGCCTGTCATAATGATGTATTGTTATATATTATATATGCATGAGTATGCCAGACTGTGAGACTGAAGAGAGAGAACGGAAATGTTTTTCTATCTGTAGAAAACAAATGTTTTAATGAATGTTTCTAGTTACTCATTTTTCAATTTTATTGTGACCGTTCATGAATTTTTATTTCATTGTATATTTTTTAGTGAACACGTTTCCGACTTCACTGCGCGACTGTTATTCTCATAGAAATTTTTACACATATCCATAAATATTATATGCATAATACATTGTTTTACGTACACGCACGTCGATTAATTTTTAAGATGTGATGTTGTTTTCGATGTAATGCGCATTGAGCATTTTTTTAGAAAATGGAAATACGCAGTATAAATGTTATTTATTATTATAATTATTATTATTTTCATCTCCACAACTCACTTGGCTTGTGCTTCCGCTTGCATAAAAATAAACTCCCACTTCCTGGAGAACATCTTCTGTAACCTTGCCAGGTTCTCCGCCTCGTAGTCCGCCAGCTCCAGCCGTTGCTTGTTCTGCATGGTCCTCTTGCATAAATAGACAGCTGCCGAATACAAGAATGTCGCCGTAAAACCTCTACTAAAAGAAAAAAAAAATGAGAACAAGAAAAGAAAGGCTGCGGGGTTAGACTTCAAATTTATACTGCCCCGCCAAGGCAGACCGATGTATCGGCAAAAATTAATTTTTGCATCTTCATTTAAATGGACGCCTATACCCATTCTGCATCTTGTGTCAAAGGCAGGAAGACGTATCTGCACTACAAATAAGATATTTCACTATGCCAAACAGACGTAACTGAAGGGCCATGCCCATATTTTCAATAGCAGCGCGACACAACTCAAAATAATTTAAAGTTCAGATACGTCGCTCTGCCTTGGCACGGCAGAATAATTGTATAATGTTGTACAAATTTTCTTTATTTCTTTCCACGCCACAGGGTTTTCCAGTTTTGTGCCTGGCCACTGGTGTTCAATATGGTGAACGTGGAACGTTCAATATGGTGTTCAATATGGTGAACGTGGAGCCCACAGAGGTCAGGTGTTACATTTATTTTATTCCAGAATTAAAACTGACCATTTTTTTCTCCAATGAGAACCATCATTAATATCAAGCTCTAAAACTTATCATCAAAAGACACATAAGGAATGGATTGATGAACATAAACCATATTATCAACAATAGATCATGAATTGACAATGATGCCACACCAAATACCGTCCATAAATCATGGTTTGCTACAGACAGAGATGAAATAAATGAGAAATGTTGAGCAAATTCTCAAAGAATAAAAAACCTTCTCAAAGCTCTCTGCTTTGTCTTTTTCAGGTAGGATTATTTACCTATATTAAATGCTCCATGAATGACTTTAGTTCCTAATCTCATTTTTCTCATTCTTCATGGAGAGTAGTTGGGATTATCTCAGTTGCGTTTTCAGATAGGAAAAAAACCCCCTCAGAGATGTCATGTACAGTTTTTATGTTGAGAATACTTTGGCAGTTGAAAATAGGAGAGCAGGCAGTCCCTATGTGTTTATAAATATACATGCCGTCAAACCAGCTTTATTTCTTCTTGATAATGCGCGATTGTCTTGGACAGGTTTAGTTTTAGTTTTCGTACAGGTTTTACAGCGCTCGCAACGGCATAAGGTCACATGAGCGCCAGAAGATTAGAGGAGTTACAAGACAGTAACAAACACAAAAAGAAGAAGAGGAGATAAGGACGACAGATGTCTCACAGGAAAGAAGAAGCAAACCACACCAGAGCACCCGCCAACCTCCCACTGGGACAGGCTTGGTTGTATATATAAATAAGATATATATATATATATAAATAATATTACATACATATTATATTTATGTACCAGCCTATACTGTCCTTGACTTTTCATTCACTGTTAAAAAATGGCTAAAAAATGTTTTCAAACACACGTATAGAAACAAAAAAAACCTTACCATAATCTGTGTTCTCGGGTTCCCCACATCTAGAGGGCCAGAAGCAAGGTGTCTGTGGGAAAAATAAATCACACACACTGTTAATCAACAAGTTTTTAAAGTCAACAAATATAGTACAATCAAACAATGTCATTGAATGTTTTTTTTTGGGTGGGTTTTTTTTTTTTTGGGGGGGGCAAGATGTGTTTAAAAAAATGAGCATTTAAGAAGTTTTATTTGAGAGTGAACATGTTAACATTATTTCAAATTGCATTGTCTGAGAAGTTTTCATGGTCGTCCATCAGTTTGGTTCATTCTTATTAGAGATGAAAATTTGTTAAATAGGTGGCTCCTCTTAACTCAGTGAAGATCGGCCTTCTGGTCATTTGAAAACTGTTGAAGAGGAGGTATTTCGGGGCATTTAAAATGGCCTAAAGACACTTCAGTCAGTGGCACCACCCGGGGGGGGGGGGGGGGAGATTCAAATGTTATAACGCCCATCCTGATAGGAATGAGTCAAACAGATAGCCTTAAAAACTCGACCAACCCAAGCTCAAAAACATCTAGTTCGGGATTTGAACCATGACCATAGGCACCTCAGCCCAGCAAGATAACAACTGACCAAACAGCATGCCCAATCTGAGCTGGAACTATTATTATATTACATAGAATTCTTATAACAATCTACAAAAACTAGTCACTGCATTTACTGTCACCAGCTGAGAGCACATAACTCCCACATCTTACATTTTAAATTGTTTAACACATGTAACCCCCCCAAAAGGGGAAACATTTAAAAAGCCGAAATGATAAAATAATCTACATCAAAGATAGACTCTAGTTTGAGCAAGCTGACAAGCCAGAGAAAAAAAATATGCCAGTGCCAGACTTTACAAAGACTATCAAGCTTTGTTAATATTGTAACTAGACACCAATAGGAGAAAAATAGACCTTAATAAGACATTAAACGGCAAAGACTTTCATCTTTCAGCGATCTTTGAGATGTAAGCCGTCACAGGTAGACCTGGAAATTTTTCTCTC